CCCTCCGTTGGTGGACAAGAAGGGCTCATATACTGCCCAGTTCGAGCATGTAAGTTTTCGAGGTGTTGGTGTACTTGCACCTGTCCCTAACCATGCTACAGACAATCCTCATCCGCCCGACGGTCAAGGAGGTCATCAGCCGCGGGGAGGACTATTAGACAACGCATGCGAATCTCATGGAGACGAATTAGTACCAGCTGGGACCCTGCTGAGATGAAACGGCTGGATGTGAGTTGGCAAGTATCGTGAATCCAAGAAATGAGTCGTTTGGCTCCATATAGGTCGATATGTCCCGACTCTCTGGCGGGCTTGAAACAACTCCGAATGCGTGAAGGTGCGGCCCTATGACGATGTGCGCGTGGGGGGGGGGGGGGGGGGCAACACATGACGCAGTGTTGCTCCGGGCCGGCTTGATGGGGTCGTACATACACTCCAGCCCTGGTTTGTTTGTTAGCGCGAGACCTCTTGCCAAGGAAGCGATCCCTGAACGATAAAACCAGACGCCTCCAGTTTTGACTTTGGGGCCTGATTGGTAGAGAAAGAGGTATCCGGCTCTGAATTCGAGACCTGGTTAGCAGAAATATAGGTATCCGGCTCTGACCTTGGGTTCTATTTGGGCAAGGGAAAGGTATCTGGCTTCTTATTCAGGGCCTTGGCCGTAGCGTCGAATGTCTCGCGCTAACAAACAAACCAGAGCTGGAGTGCAGTAAACTCAGCCTCTCAGGGACGTGCCCCTTGGTTGTCGGGACAAGACCGATAGGCTCAGGCAAGAGGGAACGGTCGAGATGGTTCCAAGGCCGTAGGGATTTGCATTCCCCGGACCCCTAAATCCACCATGACGAGCTGGGTGAACCGAGGCGGGAAGATTGGCGGTGCGATGGTGGACAGTGATGCTTGTCTGCGGCGAACATGTGGAGGATGACATCTTCAGCACCGATTGCGGAAGATCTCGCTTTGTGGATTGGCCAAGCCGAGAAGACCCGCTGCAAATCCCTTGCAAGGAGGCTGGAGTTCGCCACTTTTTTTTGTGTGCCTGAGTGGCTCCTCCGATAAGATTTCGTCGTCTGCGGGTCAATCGGGCGCAATTGATTGGCTTGGAAATCTTTTTTTCACGCAGTGAGGGGAGCCAGCGTGCCTCCTTCCTGATCTCCCGCTTCAAGGTTGGAATCCGTCCACTAAGTGAATCCGTCACCGCAGAATTCCCGAGGAGGATAACTATAACCTAACATCACCACGCTCGCTCGATCTTTATCGCGAACCCGCCCCGACACCATCTTCATTTTACCTTCCAACACACAACCACCACATTCTGGATTGATCCGACACCTCTTGCACATTCCGCCCCCCACGCGTCACAAGCCAAAACCCAACCTACCCGACTCCCGAAACAGTCAGCCATCCATCCATCCCTTGTGCCGAGAGGCGTAATCGGAGACCCGACAACTCCGACAACCAAGTCCACGACAACAAAATCCCTCTCGAGACCAACGCGGTCCATCGGCCAGTCCCCCCGTCGCGGAGACGTATATTTCAAGATGAAGGTGTTTTCCAACTCGGAGACGTTCGACTACTCGTGGGAGGAGGTCTCGACGGCCAACTGGCGAAAGTACTGCCCTTGGAACGACAAATCCACGCATGTCATCGCCGTCGATACGCTCAGCCGGGAGATTGACACTGTCACCGGCATCCTCCGCACCGAGCGGTTGATCACATGCCAACAAAGCGCGCCCGAATGGGTCAAGAAGATCATGGGCGTCTCCATGGAGGAGTCCCAGGTGCTTGAAACCTCCTACGTCGACCCCGCCCACAAGACTGTCACCATGGTCTCGGCCAACCTCACATGGAACAACCTCATCAGCGTCCAAGAAACTGTCGTCTACAAGCCCCTCAACGAACACCAGACGCAGTTCACCCAAGACGCCAAGATCACGGCCCTCTGCGGCGGCTGGCAGCGAATCAAGAACAGCATTGAGGACACGCTCGTCAAGCGCTTCCGTGAGAACGCCGCCAAGGGCAAGGAGGGCTTCGAGGCCGTGCTGGAGATGAGCCGACGCGTGTTTGCCGAGGAGCGGGAGCGGGAGAAGATGATGATGATCATGGAGCAAGCCCCCAACATCCGCCGTGCCGAGTTCACCGAACGCCTGAGCTCATAAGCCTGCGACGGTCCTGGGTCTGGATCGTGCTGGGTACACATCGCCGGCGCTGGTTCTGCCCCCGACACCCAACAAACTGGTGCATCGAGGCAACCAACAAAGTCCCTAGACTTCGCAAACCACGATCATCGGAGAACACCTAAAAGGACAAGACCGCACCTACATCTCCTCCCACAACTCTCACAACCTGCATTGCCCCTCCGCGGGCCGGTTACGGAAAAAAAGTTTGTCATTAAGCATAGAAAGGGAACATCGGACGGCGCTAGATGGATTTACGGCGTTGCAGCGGGTTGCATTCATGTATTTTCAGACCCGTGGTGCATTTTATTTTGGCTTCCTTCCATTTTGGAGTTACAGGAATACCCTTCCTCTTGTAACTTCGCTCTTCAGGGGTTGACGTGTCGCCATCTTGTCAACAAGGCACCATCGGCTTGACCTCCTCCTTTCTTCGGCGCGCACGGCTTGGAGATAGACAGATTCCCGACAGAGGACGACAGACAGCAGCAGCAGCTGAGAGGCTGAGCGTAAATAGACGTGGAGGAGAAGGATGTGTGTCAGTAGAGAAGATGTTTTGTGGAAATAAACCATCTCTGCTCTCATCTCCCCAGGCTCTTGGATTGTGAAAAATGAATGCTGACGTTGAATCATTTTGTTCCTGACCCTGCAGCAAGACCTTGCGTAATGTTCTTCCCAGCCAACCTCTCCTTGCACCGACTCTCATAGTGCCGCAGCAACCGCTTGGTCCCCTCGTCCAGTCTCGCCTCGCCCTCACCCGTCCCGGGCGCCATGACCCGCTGGATGAAGTCCACGGCCTCGTCCCAGCGCCGCAGGAAATACAGCTCCTCCACAGCGTGGGCCAGTTCTTGCGCCTCTGGTTTGTTCACCGAGACACTGACGGGGAGGGAGATGGTGGTCCAGATCTTGAGAGGGTTGGTGAGAATCACACAGGTGCAGGGGAGAAGTGTAACATACCTCGCCGTTTTCTAGTTTTGGGATATATGTTGATTTCAAAGTCTGGAAGGCCTCTTCTGACAGGGCTGTGCGATCCGCGCGGGTTGTGGTGTGGGGTGTGTCTTTGCAGATATCTGCGTCTGATGACTCGGAGTCGGAGAGGGCCATTCCAAATAGGCCTGCTTCGAGGGGGTCGTCTGCCATGGTGATTGTTGATCTTTCGTGTGTGTGGTCAAGTGTATTGGGGGACACGAGAAGTGCTTGTTCTTTGTAGCGGTTTGGGGCTGGAGGTGGAAGGGGTGTTGTAACTTTGCGGGAACCCCCCCATTGGGCCCATCTGAGATGCCCCCTCCCCCATCAGGGGAGGCAGGCACAACATCTTGACAATCCCAACTTGCAAATTACTTCGGAATTTGATCTTGCATCCGAATATATCATCTCTTCTGTGTGTTATCTTTTGATTCAAATTTTCCTTCGCCCATAAAGCTCAGCTTTGCCGCTTCCACCGCCCACGAAAGACGACACGACCGAGACATAGTTGCATGTGTTGCTCGAGATGGAGTTGAACATGGAAGACCAGGTTTCAAAACTGGTCGAAAAGGCCTGGAACCGATTCCAGGAGATCCCTTCTGACAGGCGGCTGTGTAGGTGGCCTTCCTCGCTCTTTTCTTCAGGGCGATTATCACGCCCAACATGCGTCGGTTCGACGGTCAACCTTCCGTGCCCCCAATGATCACCCCCCTGGACGTCAACATTCACTTACATCCATATTTCAGTGATTGCGATCGGTGGTATACCAGGATCAGGTAGGTCTTCATCCCCCTATATCGCCCCTGTCGTATCTCACTCTCCTCTCCACAGGGAAAACAACCCTCTCAGTAACCGTCACCGCCGCCCTCAATGCTCGCCATGTGGCTTCCACCGGGAGTTCCACCGGCACCCCCCTCGCAGCTTTCGTGCCCATGGATGGCTACCACCTTACCCGTGCCCAGCTCGACGCCATGTCCGACCCCGTAACAGCACACGCCCGTCGGGGCGCCGAGTTCACCTTTGACGGCCAGGGCTTCCTCAAGCTGGTCCAGGCCCTGCGAGAGCCCATCACAGAAGAGACCGGCACCATCCTGGCCCCGTCCTTTGACCATGCCATCAAGGACCCTAAAGAAAACGACATCCCCGTCGCCCCGACGCAGCGGATAGTTGTGTTTGAGGGCAACTGTAAGACCCCCACCCACCTGAATAGACCAAAGACATGGACTTATCACCCGCAGACGTCCTTCTCGACAAGACCCCCTGGAACATTGCTGCCGCACTGATGGACCTCCGCTGGTTCGTGTCCGTGGACCGCGCGGTTGCGCGGGTCCGCCTCGCCAGGCGTCATGTCGCTGCTGGTCTCACGGCCACGTTGGAGGATGGGGACAGGCGGGCAGTGGAGAATGACCTTCCGAATGGGGAGGAGGTGATTCGCTTGCAGGTGCCTGGGGTCGATGAGGTGGTGACGAGTGTCGAGGATGGGGGGTGGGCGGTTTCCTGTTGAGGGGGGCGGGGTTGAGGAAACTATTTCTATATCAAAGCCTATGTCGTACTCGGCCAGCAGTCTACATTGATTTTCCTTTTCCTTTTGTGAGAATATCTCTCTGTTCAGGGCAGGGTCGGAGTACGACCTGGGTGAGGGCTTCTTCAAGCTGTTGACAGAAGAGGGGGGGAAATTGGGAAACGAGGGGCAATAGTAGGGACACCGAGAATTCAAAGAGAAGAAGAACCAGCAGCAAGTTTTAGCATGTGGAAGGGATTGGGGCCAAGGAGCAAGAAAACCATGAAGCAATGCGAAAATGTGGATGCTGGATGTGAGTGGGTGTTGTAAGGCTTTTTCGACCAGGACACTCATCAATTAGTTGATCCCCGGTGGCGCAATTGGCTAGCGCGTCAGACTGTTATGTTACAACATGCCATCTGGAGGCTGAAAGTTCGACCCTTTCCCGGGGAGTTTCCAATCTTTTTTTGCTCCTCACAGCTTCACTTTTGCCGGTCAAGTGGAGAGGGGAAGGCCGGGACGGGATGAGAGGGGCGCTGTCTGTTTAGTGGATGGACGGGGATGCCAATCTTTACCATCGATGACAGTCATCTTTTCATTGCCGCAAGCGCTGCTTAAGACGATAGGTGTAACTAAATCACTGGAGGACTAGCCGGACGCATATAGTATTGAATTGTCAACATATTGCAGATGTCGTCGGCAGATGTGGTCATCACTCACACTTGTCCTAAAGCAATTCAAGATTCAGGGTTAACAGTGGGTGAAATTCCCATAGCTAACCCTGAACTTGAACCCCCCGGGTCCATGCACACGCCACTTCAGCCGCCCATTTGGCAGGGGTGCATTGCGCTAAGGTGCTGCTAAGCTAAGCCCGATTGGAATTTTGGTCAAGCTGTCCTCTCGATTTCGTTTCGCGATGTCCATTCCGACGGGCTGACGACGTGGTTTCTGGTGTTGAGTTCTGGAATCATTGCAACTGGGGAAGACATCTTTTTTCTACCATTCATTCGTCTCGAGAATTTCCATTGCCCACCTCTTCCAACCCAAGGGTGACCTGCAGTGTCGCCAATGCGGCCGGCAGTGAATCCGACAAGTAACTGATTGCCCCTGTTGCTTGCGCCCGCCTACTGCGACGACCAAACACGAGGTTCTGCGAACACCAGACGACAGACAGCTTGACTGGCGACAACCCACGATTTAAATAGCCAGGGTCTCTTGTCGATTCAGCACGACAAGCGGAGGAGCCACCAATCTCGCCCTGGGAGACCTCACCTAGTGAGGACACCCACCAACCGCGACCATGATGAACGGCTACGAGAAGCACGACCTCGACGACGACTCTTTCGGCGCAAAGGGCGGGATAGTGCAGGCATTCGATGCATTCCGTACGTACCGAGCGGCATACCTCCCCACCCCACCTACCGTTCTGGCGCCCACTGACAGCCATGATGCTCTCTAGCCAAGGCGAAACCACAATATGTCGAAAGGACGGCGGGGGGCGGCAAGTGGACAGTCGCCATGATCATCGTATCGGCGCTACTGTGCTGGTCGGAGCTGGGGCGGTGGTGGCGCGGCACCGAGGAGCACACGTTTGCCGTCGAGAAGGGCATCTCGCACGTCCTCGACATCAACCTTGACATCGTCGTCAAGATGCAGTGCGATGACCTGCACATCAACGTCCAAGACGCCGCCGGCGACCGAATCCTCGCCGCCTCGCGGCTCAAGAAGGAGCCGACGAACTGGTCGCAGTGGGCGGACAACCGGGGCATTCACAAGCTGGGCAAAGACGCCCACGGCAAGACCATCACGGGTGAGGGGTATGAGGAGGCGCATGACGAGGGTTTCGGCGAGGAGCACGTCCACGATATTGTCGCCCTCGGACGTAAGCGCGCCCGCTGGGGCAAGACGCCGCGGCTGTGGGGCAACACGGCCGACAGCTGCCGCATTTACGGGAGCCTGGAGCTCAACAAGGTCCAGGGCGACTTCCACATCACCGCCCGCGGCCACGGATACATGGAGATGGGCGACCACCTCGACCACAACGGTACACTCCCTCTCCCCTCCACTCCTTCGAACCAGACTAATCCCTCCTAGCCTTCAACTTCTCGCACATCATCTCCGAGCTCTCCTTCGGCACCTACCTCCCCTCGCTCGAGAACCCCCTCGACGGCACCGTCGACACGGCCGCCGTCCCCTTCCACAAGTTCCAGTACTTCATGTCCATCGTCCCGACCATCTACAGCGTCGGCGACCCGCACAGCCGCAGCAGCCGCTCCATCGCCACCAACCAGTACGCCGTCACGCAGCAGAGCCGCGAGGTCAACGAGCGCACCATCCCCGGCATCTTCTTCAAGTACGACATTGAGCCCATCCTGCTCAACATTGTCGAGACGCGCGACAGCTTCTTTGTCTTTATCATCAAGCTCGTCAACATCCTCAGCGGCGCGCTCGTGGCCGGCCACTGGGGCTTCCGTCTGTCGGACTGGGTCGGCGAGGTGCTCGGCAGGAGGCGGCGGAGCGGCCACAGCGAGGGCATGCTGGGGTCCAAGAAGGTGTATCATGACTGAAGAGAGAGCGAAGTGTGCCGGTGAGCGAAGAGGTAGCGCAAAAAGGAATGATTTGATTTTTCTACTTTTGGGTCCAAAATGGATTTATATACCATTGTGTTTCTACTAGAGAGTACGGCGAAATGAGGTACTGCTTTCTGAAAATACGGCCTGCATATCTTGAGCGGTGGCTATTTCATGTCCCTTTAGGGGGTTGGAGAGTACAATCCAGTACTGGTTTGTTTGTGAGCGCGAGACTTCTCCCGAAGGATGCTACGCCTCCTGTTCTGACCTCAAGACCCCCAATTCTAACCCCAGGGCCTCCAGCTCTACCTTCGAAGCTTGGTTACACAAATACAAGGTATCCAGTTCCGACCCCAGGACCTGATCGGCAGGAGCATAAGTGTCCGGCTACGAGAAAAGGGTATCTGGCTCTGAGGAAAAAGTATCCGGTTCCAACTTCAGGGCCTTTATCAAACAGTATGTGGCCTGTGTCTACCCGCAGAATGTCTCGCGCTAGCAGACAAACCAGGGCGGGAGTGTAAGACGATGCTCCTTGAGATTAACGAAGCCACGAGCAGATCATTGCCGAGGGCAAGAAGGGAATGAGCTGGGACCTGAACTAACTAAACTATACGGAACAAAATCCAGGCATGTCGAATACCTCAGCATCAACTAAACCCCTTTCCTTTTAATACCGCTCCATCAACCACTGCCTCCGCTCCTCATCGCCCATCTTGGCCAAAAACGTCATCTCAAACTCCTTGACCGCCACATATCTTTCCACCAGCTCCTCTCCCAGGTGTCCTACGAGCTCTTCGTCCGCCCGCAGCGCCGTGAGCGCCTCTTCCAAGCTGGCCGGCAGTTTCTCCGTGACACCCATCTCCTTCCTGTCATTGTCCGTCAGTGTTGCCGGGTCCATCTCACAGTCACGCCACTTCAGCGGCTCGCGCGCCAGGACACCACCGATTCCGGCAAACAACACCGCCGCCATGGCGAGGTACGGGTTCGCCAGCCCGTCCATCGTCTTGAGCTCCCAGTGGCTGTCCTCCACCTTGCGCAGCGCCGTCTCGCGGTTTTGCGTGCCCCAGCAGACCCATCTGCCCCCAGCCCAGGTGCTGTCAACGGCGCGGTCGAAGCTCGCCGGATTTGCGTAGGTGAATGCGAGGATGGCGCGAAGGTGCTTGAGAATCCCGGCGTAGAAGGACTCGTATATGTCCGGGCGAGAGCCTGCGGGCGAGGCGATGGACATGTGCGTGTGTGCTGCAGTGCCGCAAGCGTGGGGGAAGGGCTTGGGGTGCAGGGTGATTTTGAAACCGGCGGCGGTGGCGATGGAGTTTATGACGTCGCGCGTGTGGAGGAGGGTGTCGACAGCCTCGATCGGTGGATAGGGTGGGAGGATGAGCTCGAACTGGCCCATGGCGCTCTCCGCGTGAAGCTGCTCCACATAGATGTCCATGTCCTCCAGGGCCGTGACAATATCGCGCAAGAGTTTGGAGATCTTGGGGTCGGCGTAGTACCGCGAAACAGACCAGGCATGACCGTCAGTGGCGAGGGAGCCGTAGCGGGCGGTCTCATTCCCAGAGTGGAAGCTGCCGGTACGGTCGAGGCGTTCGATAAGGAGGAACTCAATCTCGAATCCGAGAAGAAAGGTCAGATTGTTCTCGGCTCCGAACTCCACTGCGCGCTGAAGGAGGGAGCGCGGGCAGAGGGCGACGCGGGCGCCCGACTTCTCCCTGAACTCGGCATACATGCTGACATGGCCATCGAGAGGCCCCTTTTTGAGAGAGGAGAAATCGGGATGGAGACGATACTCGCCAACAGGAGTCACTCCGGGGACAAGCAAATCGTTCTGGAGGAGGCCGAACACAGCCTTGCAGATTCCAACGTCCGTCGACTTGCCCTCGCTGAGAAGGGTCATGAACTTGCGGAACGGGACCATGCGCATCCGCGGCTGTGCTACGAAATCGTTCCATGTAATTCTGATAAAATCCGGTGTCTCTTGGCCTCGCAAGAAGTTTTGGAATAGGTCGGCATCGCTCAGGAAGGGGCCCAACTCGATGACAGGGTCCTCTTCGAGCTCGGTGAACTCGAGGCCCAGTCGGTACAATTTGTTGGCATTTCGAAACAAGACGTCCCGCACGAGGTCGATGGCGGCCTTGGGTCCGATATGACCCTTGCGCACATACTCGCAGAGAACCTGGGGCAAACATCAAGTCAGTCTTCAGTCCCGGCTTCTCGGTGCAGGGTTGACCAAGCTTACACTCTCGAAGACCTCCCGCATCTGGATGATGGCCAGAAGATATGTCTCCGGAAACCAGTGACCGTCGGTACTCCAAAGAATCTTGGTCCAGGGGCAAAGCTCCAGGACTTGTCGCAGAACACGCTCCTGTCCGTCCTGGCTGACCTGGGGAAAGACTTCGCCAATGTCGACATGTACGTTTTCGTACACGGAGGCGAGATATCCGGCCTCACGCATGAAGGGATAGCTGGCATGGAGAAGAACAATCGGAACAGATGGGTATGCCCGGATGAAGCCCTGGAGGTGGGCAGGGGACGACTTGGACAAGGTTATGTCGTTGTCTCCCAAGCCCGTGTGGAACTGGATGGGCTTCTTATGGCCGTCGGAGTCCCGAATCAGGCTCGCAGTCCGGTGGACAACGAGGTCGTTGAGGCTGACTTCCTCCAGGCGGTCAAAGTCCATCAGGGAGAAGTTGGCGAGGATCTCCCCAAAGGCTTTTCGGGCAGCATCTTCATCGGCAGCTTCCAGGTCAAGACCGGTTCGGTAGCAGATGACAGACTTGAATGCCACCACCTCGGGGTCCTCGAGGGCAGCCTTGATGCCCTTTTCAAACTCGGCAAGCCATTCGTCATAAGCATCGTCCAGCACGTCGTTACGGGTCTGAG